TTTTATTTATTTACTCAAATTTTTATAAAATTTTCTTGGCTAACAAATGAGATTATTTAATTAAAAAAATGGAACAATCATTAATATTTCAGAGAAAAACAACATAAGACAAGAAAATGGGCCGTGCGGTGTGACCCGCGCACCGATGTGACGAACCGCGCTAGATTAATTAATTTTTTTCTTATAGTAATAATTATTTGTCCATCGATTAAAAAAGCGTTTTCAAAAGGAAATTTGACGTAGAACACGATAGAAAGATTAAAAATTTGATACAAGGGTGGGGCAATTGTTAAAAATCGATTTAAACATTTTAATTGTTTATAACAATTTGAATTTGTTAATAATTTTTTTTCAAGTACTTTTTTATTAACCCCTTAACCTACGATTTAGATTCGAAAATGTTGGGCCGAAATCGTATACAAGCTCGCGCAGCGTTCGGGTCATTCGCACGACTTGTGTAACACGCGAAGGACTGGGCTCATTTTCCAAAGCACATTGATCCAACACCCTCTAAATCAAGACCGTCAAAACGTTGTACAGTTTGTCACAAACATAAAAAACGTAAAAAAACAACATGGGAGTGTAAAAAGTGTAAAGTTCCGTTACATGTACCGGAATGCTTTGAACTATATCATACCGTTACAGATTACTAATTTTGTATTTTGGATTTTTATATAAAATAAAAATTTTGTAATTAACAATTTGTAATAAACAATTATTGCATCAGGCTGTAATTGCATATCAAATATTCCACGTAATATTCACTTCTGGCCCGACCATCGTACGCGGGCTATGCCCGTAATATTCACTTCTGGCCCGACCATCGTACGCGGGCTATGCCCGTAATATTTACGTTTGGCCCGACCATCGTACGCGGGCTCTGCCCGTCATTGTAGGTTAAGGGGTTAAAGCTCGTTCTTTTACCTTCAAAATAAAAAAAAATGAAATATGTAGCTTAAATAGAAACAGAGTAATGAATTTTTAAAAAAATGTACTTCAAGCCAAAAATCACCAAATTCTCAAGTTTTACATCCTTTCTCTTTTCCAAAAAAATGAAATAAAAATCCTCGAATAGGTATATCTTTTTCTGTCATATAGAAAACGTAAAAAAAGTTTTAGCTAAACCAAAAATGTGTCGGTCAATTTTCGACCAAATCTGTACGGTTTCTAAAAGAATGTCCCCGATACTTAACCGTTGATAAAACATGGATCCACCATTATACACCTGAATTGAAACAATAGTCGGCACAATTGGTTCCAAAGTGTGGAAGTGCTCCGAAATGACCAAAGACGCAAAACTCATCTGGAAAGGTTGTGGCCAATGTGTTTTGCACATGGATTCACATGGAATAATCCTCATCGATTGTCTTGAAAAAGAAGGAACAATCACAAGAGAGTATTATGCATTATTGTTGGATTCGATTGAATGATGAAATGAAAAAAACGGCCTCATTTCATCATTTTCATTTTTCATTTTCATTCAATGCACCAGCTTACAAATCGGTAATAGCAATGACAAAAAAAACTAATTGACGTATGAATTGCTCCCACATCCACCGTATTATCCAGATCTAGCCCTGTGTGACATACCTGTTTCCAAATCTCAAAAGATGTCTCCAGGGAAAGAGATTTGCTTCAAATGAAGAGATTGAATGGGAGACAGATGCATATTTTGGCGGTTTAGAAACTTTTTATTATTTGGATGGCTTAAAAAGGTAGAAACTCTTTGGACTCAGTTTATTGAGCTAAAAGAAGATTATGTTGAAGAATAAAGTTGAGTTTTGCTAACAAATCTCTTCTTGTAATATTGTTATGGAATTACTTCATATCAACATATGTACATTCTATCAAATAAATGCCGGAAATTCTTCAATAAAACAAAATATTAACTTAATCATCCAAATTTATTGTGTTGCCTTCAAGATAGGCCACATTTGATGCGACATATTTATGCCAACGAATGATCCAGTTGTCGAAACACTTCTTATAAGCACTTTCCGGTATGGCTTGCAGCTCCTCCTGCGAATTTTGTTTTATGGCTTTAATGGACTCAAAACGTCTTCCACAAAATGGTAATTTGAGTTTTGAGAACAGGAAAAAGTTACACGGAGCCACATCTGGCGAATATGGTGCTTGGTCAATGGCGAATATGATGCTTGGTCGATGTCAATCGTTGAATTTTGGTCAAAAATTCGCGTACAGGAGTTGATGTGTGGGGACAGCACATTATCGTAGTGCAAAATCCAAAAATTGTTCTTTCACAAATCAGGCCCTTTTCGGCGAACAACCTTTCTCAAACTTTTCATAACACCAAAATAACATTGTTTGTTGACTGTTTGCATCTCCAAAAGGAATTCAGAATGGATAACGCCACGATAGTCAAAGAAAATATTCAACATGACCTTGACCTGTTTCTTTCGGCCTTCTTTGAATGCTTTGTACCACTCATATGTTCGTGCTTTCAATAAAGCTGACTCACCTTAGGCCTTCTCCAACATTTCAACGATTTGGCACAAGACATTTCGTTGACAATACAAAATTTGAGGCAAACAATTTGTTCCATATTTTTACTCCGTTTAAAAATCGCAAAATAGACTTGAAGTCGGCTAACAAAACTAACAGCTGTAAACAAACTGGTTGACAAATGGCGCCAAAACTTTACCTGACAATTAGGTACATTAGTACCAACTTACAGCAAACATTTATTTTCATTCCTTTTCACGGGCTTTTGAAATGAACAATTCCCGGTTATTATTTGAAAGAATGTATTTTTTATGAATTTAAGAAGAACAATATTTATGAACAGAAAAAGAAATAAAAAATATCCAATATATTAGGTTGTTGCGTGAGTCGAGCCGACGTGAGTAGTTTGGGGTGCCTGTCGTAGCGCGGTAGAACGGAAGGTGGTGGTGACAATAAATTACTTCTCGTCCGAAGATAAACTTGTCTTTATTGACAATATAAACTTGTCTTTATGTTTTCCGGCCAATACAGTATTTCTTGTAACCGATAGCGTGTCAGTACCTGAGAGCTGAGAGTCTAGAATCGCCCAGGGTTTGATCTCATGTCCCTTTTATCCTCTTCCTATGTCTAAATCAGAAAGGATATTTTTGATGTATCAGCGTCACTTGGGTATGAACGCTGACCACCTTGATTTTGGTATTGCATTAGCCAGAATGCAGAGTAGTATTTCTGCAAGGTGACGTTACGTAATTTGGGCAACGTGCGATCGTAATTTGTTTATGGCAATCGACACGTCTCATGGTTATGCTTACAATAAGGTATACAAATGAATAATCCAAAATTTTTAGCTAAATTTGATATTTATTTTGAAAGAAAGTAAAACAAATTTTTCAATTGAAATATTCGCCGTTGCTTTCTATAACTTTAAGACATCTTTTAGACAGCTGATAAATTCCATTTCGAAAAATGCTGTGTCTTTAGGCCTTTAGGCACAATAAAATCGTCAAGTCATTTTCGGATCTCGTCCGCTGATTGGAAGTGAGTATCGGACAAGACGTATTGCGCCGACCGGAACAAATGATAATCGGATGGAGCAATGTCTGGTGAATACGCCAGGTATTGCAAGACATCCCAACTAAAATTCATTATGGTGTCTTTTTGTTTTGGAAACAATATGTAGCCTTGCGTTGTAATGCAATAGTTTCACAGGACGTTCTCCTTTGTCACTATACTATCGTTTCTGTTCCAATTCTTGATCCAAGCGAAGTGACATTGATCGCAGTCCGCAGTAATTGTTTCTTATTCGGTTCCAACAGCTCATAACAGCTCTTGATATCCCACCAAATGCAGAGCAGAACGTTCTTTCTGAAGCGATTGGGCTTTGCGACCGACGTTGATGGTTTGCCGGGATTAACTCATGACTTTCCGCGTTTCGGATTGTCATAAAGTATTTACTTTTCATCGCCTATAATGATTTCCACAAGAAAGACTTCTGAAGCTACTTATTGAGAAGAGAAAGACGCGCTGCCACTCGTTGATTTTTTTACTTCAGTGAGTTCATGCGGAACTCATTTTCCTTCTATTTGAGTCTTACCCATCTCATGTAGGCGTTTGGAAATGTTTTGCTGGGTTACTCCCCACTGCTCTGCAAGCTCCTTTGTACCGAATATTCAGCAAGGAATTCTAAATCATCGTTTTCGCATTTTTGAGGATTTCCAGGACGTTGTTGATCAGACTGAAATCAACGCTTTTAAACGAAAATGCGCACACATTGTACGATACCACACCTTTGTCGAGAAATAAACAAATCGATTCGCATGTTCTTGGAGAATTTTTTCCTTGCTGGAATTCATAAAGAATATTGTATCGGATATGTACTTTATCTGTTTGATTCTACTAAACTGAATGCTTTTGAAAGTTATGTTGGACCTTTCGCAGTATTAAATATCATTTTTAATAGCAATATGTCAACACTACATAAGTTTAAAAGAGCAGAAAAATTGATTTTAAAATTAATTTCTTAACTGCTTATGCATTTGGATTATTCATTGGTAACACATCAACTCTAAAAACAACGTTACAATAAAAATTATAATTTATCTTATATTATACTCAAAAGTATAAATATCACGTTTAACGTGTATTATATGTAACACTTTATTGTTGAACGGAAAATTATAATATTGATATAACGTTTTTGTATTAGTTGACGTTTTGAGGAACAATTCTCTTTCAAATGAAATAATTAAAATAAATTTAGCTTTTAACTTCATTAAAGAAGAAAGGAATCCAAAATTATGCAAAATTATGTAGTGTTGGCGGATGCAATCGCGAACGAGATAACTAGCTCATGTATGCGCACAAGTTGAAATAATCGCAAAGAACAGTTCACTATTTCATGGAACTTCTCTGACTCTTAAGTCAAGTCTTATTATTATATAGGGTACGTCAGCTAAATCCGGACAAATTTCAATTTGAATTTCCCGCCATATTTCACTTCAGTACTAAGTTGGTATTTGTGTCAGAGAAAGGTAAAACAATGTTCTGAACGAACATAACCTCAAAATGGCTGATCAGTTAAGATCGAGCATGGAATATAATCAAAAAGCGGTGATTATTGAAAGTCTTCGTTGAACGTATGCCGGCCGAAATAATTGAGTTATTAAAATATTTCAGATTGACAGTTTATAAAATTTCCGCTAAATATAAGACTTCGGAGAAGTCCGAAAAAGGTTCTGCAAATACGTCGAGGAAAAGCTATTCAAGGGAGAGGTCGACAAGAATCCCAGAAATTATCCAAAATGTCTAAGAGTTGATCGCAGGAGACCCATGGCAATCTCTCAGGAAATTGGCGACAATTTTGGATGTAAGTAAGACACTGTAGCCTCCGGCAGACCATACATCATCTAACAGGACGGCGCACCAGCTTACACTAGTCATTTGGTCCAAAATTGGCTGGCAGACAACATCGATATGTTTTGGAGCAATGAGTTTTGGCCTCTAAATAGTCCTCCGAATAGATTTAAATCCGTTAGACAATGTGTGGAGAGTGATTGAAAGGGTCACTAATAATTCAGGATATCCTAATGTGGCATCTCATCAGGCCGCTAATGAAGCAGCATTCTTCAATATGGACAAGTCGGCTTTGCAGAAAGCGTGCAATCGCTCCAGGCCCAGGATTAAGGCAATAACTGCGGCAGATGTTGATTACATTGAGTAATTTTTGTTTATAACGGTTCTACAAATGACACGAAAAAAGGTTTTTATGTAATATTTGATGTTTCACTAATAAACTTTTGTTAAATATATTGTTTATTTTGTCCGGATTTAACATACATTGAATTCAAAATAGTTGATTACACGTAGTGTTACGGCTGTGATCCAGGAATCTTTTTTTGAAGAAAATTGATTAAAAACACCAGAGGAAAAGTTTTGTTTTGTGAAAAATGTTTATGAGAATTCAGGAAATAGAAGACCATGGGAAAACCTCAGAATGTAGACTGGATCCGTAAAGAGGGAGATATAAGGCAATGCTGCGGCAGCGCATCGGCAGAAATCAGAAGAAAGCTGTGGAAGACCGCAAGCTGTAGGACGCCGACAGGAAAAGGCGGCGGGAGGCCACAGGCTGCAGGAAGCAATCCATACAGCACAAGGTTGCAAATATATTGCTGCGATATTTTTCTATAAGATTGCCACATTGCAGAAACATTTTGAAATTTTGCTACAACATTGCTGTAACGTTGCAACAACAGTAAAATATCCGTGATAGAAACATTGCAATGTTACATTGTATTATAGAAACATTACAATTTAATATATATACAATGATACTTTGTCTGATTTTTTAGGCTTCCGCGATGTGAATAAATGGATTTGGCATTTGAGTTTGTTTCCTTCATAGATTTAACCATATTTTCCGACGTTTCTTGAACATTTAAGTTTATTTCTTCAAAATAAAGTGCGACCCGAGATTGCGGGTTGATCTCAAGTCATTCCACATCCTGAAGAAGTGATCTGAAATGTTTATGAAATATCGGAAATCTTTGAAAGTTATGATTTGAAAGTCAAATCAAATACATTGTGTATAAATATTATGACGTTACAATGCTACTATCGCTCCTCTGCATGTCAAAAAGCATAATTCTTACCGCGGACGAGTACACCGGAAAGCGTCGCCTACCGATGTCTAAAGGAAGGGCCGACTTAGCATATTATGATTTAATTTCAAAACTTTCTTTTTATATTTAGCGTCTCACCGGGCCTGCGAAAGGCGAAAACCATAGGTAAACCGCGCCGAGGACGCCGCCGGAAGAAAGCGGGTCAGGATTCGATCAGGCCACGACGCCCGGGAGGAAAGCAGCGAATCAGACGCACGCTCGTGAGTGGCAAAACAGCGCGCACGATAACTGGCTACGTCGCAGGAACGTCGCCGAGCATTGTTTGCTGTCCCTGTGGAGAAACACGCGCGTGCAAGCCGATGTCGGCGAGGGAAAATCCGAAGAAAAACTCAAGAAAGCCTCATCGGAAAAGAGAGACTATGTTGAATAGTATATTACGTTTAGAATGTGTTACGTCCTGGAAGAGAATGCAACGACCGCACTCGCAAACGCGAGTCCCAAATGTACTTGTATGCCGGCGATGCAGGTCAGAGACCGGAAAGGTCACTTTACTCTGACGCGGACGTACGCAGGGTGGTCCTAATTTAGGTCAAGGTACTGAAACCCTTTATCTGAGATGGGACCGCAAGCGAAATAATTGGGGAAAGAATGTTGTGAATGAATTGTGAATGCGCGAAGGTTTCAAAATAATATCAAATATAATGTTACGTTCTGAAAGAGGATGTACGCAACAAAAATCGCATACTCGCGCACTCGCGAGGCCTTAATGTAGGAAGGTCTGCAGTGGAAGGTCTGCAGATCAGGTCAAGGTCCGGAAAGGTCCATTTATTACGATTGCAGAACATACGTTAGGTGGTCCTTTATTTAAGTCAAAGATCTTAATCTTTTTACCTGGAATAGTACCATATGAGAGTGTTGAAAGGGTAATTCTGATTGAAGTAATTGGAAAGAAATGAATGAATAAATGTAACAATCTTAGATAAATTTGGGCATTTTGTATAAAAGAATTTATTAATTATATTAATAACATAATTTGCTTCTCACATGGATTAACAATAGTGATAATAGATAAATTGATGAGAAAAGTCATCGTAAAAAGTTCAATATTTAAAAGATGATACAGTTAGCTAAAATTAAATAATGAGAAATATGGCTTAATATCAAACAAACTTTTATAAATCAGCATTATTGGAATAATGCAAATAAAAGATGAAGATTAAAGTAAAATTAAGTAAAAAGTAATCCGTATAAATTAATGTAATACAATCGGATTTAACGTAACAAGAATGTTTAACATATTGGTATAGTGAGAATAACAACATTATATAATACAAGAAAGATAATAATTACGCTGCGTATGTGTATGTTTAAGCAGTATAATGCGATTGAAGATTGAAGTGAAATTATAAAAAATCACGTATAAATATGAAATAGAGACTTACAATTTAGGTGGATCGACTATGGTCAATAGTAAGTAGAACCTAGCTCTCGTCGGCTCTAGTCGGACGATTAATATAAAACATTAATGCACATATGTTTATGAGAACTAACGTAGTGACTGAGAAAAATGAAAACTATAACGTAAAAAAAACTTTGAGACTTAGTATCTAATCTGAGAATAAGAATCCGAGAATGCTAAGAACTGCTGACAACTATCAAGATTTGTCAAAACTGCCAAAAGAACTGCGGGGTATTGCTAGATATTGATACTGCCGAATAATGCTAAAGAACTGCGGGTACTGCTCGAGGCTACAAGAGAGTAGGGTTTTTACAGAAAAAATTTTGGTAGTGGTAAATGACGATTGCCAATGAGAACAATTTTCTTGGAAGGGAGATGTGGAGATTTGGATGTTTCTCAATAGATTTTTAAGGAGAAGGTGATGACAATCTTTCAGACGTAGGAGACAGAAATTGACCACTCTTACAATTGGAGAGAGGAATCTATGCTCTGTTTGAAGGTTTCTTTCTTCGGGAGGAAAAGTGAGTGTAGTTTGGACGTAGTTTTTAAAATGCTAACAGTCATAAGAGCGCACGCAGGACGTGAGGGTAAGAGGAGGATGGCTGCGTGTTTGCTTTATACTATTCGCAGAAGAGATGTGTTTGGAAACATTAGATGTATTAGATGTGTTATCGAGATCTCATAAATAACATTTGGGTCTGAGTTTTACTCAACAGACCAACGTCTTTCCACATCCGGTCGGCCTCTTGACTCAGACTATGTTTCTAGTCATATTACAGTTTTATTACAAGGTGCCGCTTGGCCAAATGCGTTTGTTTCCTAATGCAAGAGAACAAGAGTTTATAAGAAAGGAACAGAAAAGAATTCATTTTCCGTGAAGTACGCAGGATGTAATAATAAATTGATTAACTATCTCGGAGTTTATTGAAATAACAACAGGTTAACGACGTAAGTTACAAAATAAAACAATGATTTAAGACAAAGTTTATAATTGAATACACTTAATCGGGTAAGTGAATGTGTATGTATATGTAAGTATGCGTGTGGGATTTTAAGGGGAAAGTTTACGAATTAGGGATAGGAGGGTCAAATGAGATGGTAGAAAAATAGGATAGGGCTGGAGACAAATCTTGGGGTGCGTAATTCAAGTGACGGGGAACGGGAAGACGGACTGAGGTACCACGATGGTCCGGGGGAAATGTGTTCCACGGAGACCGTGAGGGTAAGAAATAGGAAGAATCAAGTGTTGAAGTTGAGGGACTTTGCGGGCGAGGAGAAGAAGGGAGAGGAGAACAGTGTATCGATGAATGTGTATTCTCCGGCAATGATAATAATTCTGAAATACACCTAAAATGCTCTGCTAGGATATCCTCGCTAGTCTCGCAAAGATCCCTAGCAGCCAATGAAAGGATCTGATGCTTGTCCTCTCCAAGCAGTGTTTACTGGTGTAGTGAGAGAAGTAAGTTAAAGGAAAGATGGGATGTAGAGTGGAACAAATGTTAATTGCGCTGTGTACTTACTCGTTGATCGAGGTGTACTGGATTTCTGAGATTCCCAGGAGCGAGGGCTAACTCCAGTTGTCCTCTCGTGGCTCAACTTGTGGACGAATTGGCTATATGGCAGATGCACTTGCGACGGTTGACTCGATGTACTATGCCGAAGTGTCAAGCCGAGAGGTTTAATAATTAACAAAGTCTGTTAAGGAAATACTGCGGAATATTGTGATAGACTCAGAGATTGTTTGATCCGAGACTGATTCCGCCGGATACAGCGAGTTAGTCGGAAGAAGTAATGAGTAGTGAGCAAGAGAGTAGGGTTTTTGTAGGGAAAATTTTACGAGTAGTAGATGACGATTGCCAATTAGATCAATTTTCGTGGAAAGGAGATGTGGTAGGTAGGGAGGTTGCCCAATAGATTTTTCAAGAGAAGGTGATGACAACCCTTAAAATGCATGAGATAGAAATTGACCAGTCCCACGATTGAGGAGAGCGACCTATGTTTTTTACAAACGTATCCTTTTTTGCAAGGAAAAGTGGATGAAAATTGGACGTAGTCCTTGGAATTCTGGCAATCATAAAATAGCACGCAAGACATTAGTGTGAGAGGCGATCCTTGCTTTCTTACGCTTTTTCTTAGATGGAAGAGGAGAAAAATGTGACGTGATTCAAATGTGGGGGTAAGGATGAGTTGCGTCAGTTATAAAGGGAAGTTAAGACGTGGGACGGTTTGTTTTTCTAGGATCGTATGATTTTTCCGATTCTATGGAGCATTTTCTCAACCATATGTGCCAATTTGGGAGCAGAAGTTGCAGGATCTTTTTTTATTTCGCGAATTATAATTTTCTCTTCTCTGCTTGTCAATTATTTCGGACGACCTGAACGAACTTTATTGGCAACAGTTCATTGATTTTCAAGCTTCTTTATAATGTAATGCACTGTATATTTACTTCTGTTTACAATTTTCGTATTCTCATTATAAGATTTTCCGTCTCTACGTAGTTTTAATAGCATTTCTTGTTCACTGTTTTATGTTTCTGACTTTTTCCTATTAAAATTGATTATTACTGCACAACTGTACATTACTCTTACTGAAATGATGTTTTGTGATCAACTGAATGTTCCTTTGATTACATTTGATGCTAATGTTTACATTCAGCATTAAG